AAGCAACAAAGATCAAAAGAGACAAAGAAGGACATTACATAATGGTAAAAGGATCACTGCAACAAGAAGAGCTAACGATCCTAAATATATATGCACCCAATACAGGAGCACCCAGATACATAAGGCAAGTTCTTAATGACTTACAAAGAGACTCAGACTCCCACACAATAATACTGGGAGACTTTAACACCCCATTATCAATATTAGACAGATCAACCAGACAGAAAATCAACAAGGATATCCAGGACCTGAACTCAGACCTAGAACAAGCAAACCTAATAGACATTTACAGAACTCTCCACCCCAAATCCACAGAATATACATTCTTCTCAGCACCACATCACACCTACTCTAAAATTGACCACATAATTGGCAATAAATCACTCCTCAGCAAATGCAAAAGAACAGAAATCATAACAAACAGTCTCTCAGACCACAGTGCAATCGAGTGAGAACTCAGAATGCAGAAACTAACTCAGAACCACACAGCTTCATGGAAACTGAACAACTTGCTCTTGAATGTTGACTGGATAAACAATGAAATGAAGGCAGAAATAAAGACGTTCTTCGAAACCAATGAGAACGAAGACACAACATACCAGAATCTCTGGGACACTTATAAAGCAGTCTCTAGAGGAAAATACATAGCAATGAGTGCCCACATGAGAAGAAAGGAGAGATCTAAAATTGACACCCTATCATCAAAATTGACAGAGCTAGAGGAGCAAGATCAAAAAAACTCAAAACCTAGCAGAAGACAGGAAATAACTAAGATCAGAGCAGAACTGAAGGAAATAGAGACACAAAAAAACTCATCAAAAAATCAATAAATCCAGGAGCTGGTTTTTTGAAAAGATCAACAAAATAGACAGACCACTAGCCAGATTAATAAAAAAGAAAAGAGAGAATAATCAAATTGATGCAATAAAAAACGATAAAGGGGATATCACCACAGATTCCACAGAAATTCAAACCATCATCAGAGATTATTACAAAGAACTCTATGCACATAAACTAGTAAACCTGGAAGAAATGGATAAATGCCTGGACACCTGCATCATCCCAAGCCTAAACCTGGAAGAAGCCGAAACCCTGAATAGACCAATAACATGGTCTGAAGTCGAGGCAGCAATAAAGAGCCTACCACCCAAAAAAAGCCCAGGTCCAGATGGGTTCACAGCTGAATTCTAACAGACATACAAAGAGGAGCTGATACCATTCCTTCTGAAACTATTCCAGACAATCCAAAACGAGGGAATCCTTCCCAAATCATTTTACGACACCAACATCATCCTGATACCAAAACCCGGCAGAGACTCAACAAGAAAAGAAAATTTCAGGCCAATATCCATGATGAACATAGATGCAAAAATATTCAATAAAATACCGGCAAACCGATTGCAACAGCATATCAAAAAGCTCATCCACCATGATCAAGTAAGATTCATCCCGGGGATGCAAGGCTGGTTCAACTTACGCAAGTCCATAAACGTAATTCACCACATAAACAGAACCAAAGACAAAAACCACATGATTATCTCAATTGATGCAGAGAAGGCTTTTGACAAAATTCAACAACCCTTTATGCTAAAAACCCTCAATAAACTAGGTATTGATGGAACATATCTCAAAACTATAAAAGCTATTTACGACAAACCAACAGCCAATATCATACTGAATGGGCAAAAACTGGAAGCATTCCCTTTGAAATCTGGCACTAGACAAGGATGCCCTCTCTCACCACTCCTATTCAATATAGTGGAAGTTCTAGCCAGAGCAATCAGGCAAGAAAAAGAAATAAAGGGTATCCAAATTGGAAAGGAGGAAATCAAATTGTCTCTATTTGCAGATGACATGATTGTATATCTGGAAGACCCCATCATCTCAGCCCAAAGTCTCCTGAAACTGATAAACAACTTCAGCAAAGTCTCAGGATACAAAATCAACGTGCAAAAATCACAAACATTCCTATACACCACTAATAGACTTCAAGAGAGCCAAATCAAGAACGAACTGCCATTCACAATTGCTACAAAGAGAATAAAGTACCTAGGAATACAACTAACAAGGAACGTAAAGGACCTCTTCAAGGAGAACTACAAGCCATTGCTCAACGAAATAAGAGAGGATACAAACAGATGGAGAAACATTCCATGTTCATGGTTAGGAAGAATCAACATCATGAAAATGGCCATACTGCCCAAAGTAATTTACAGATTCAACGCTATTCCCATCAAGCTACCAATGACCTTCTTCACAGAACTGGAAAAAAACACCTTAAACTTCATATGGAACCAAAAGAGAGCCCATATAGCCATGTCAATTCTAAGCAAAAAGGACAAAGCAGGAGGCATCACACTACCGGACTTCAAACCATACTACAAGGCTACAGTAATCAAAACAGCATGGTACTGGTACCAAAACAGAGATATAGACCAATGGAACAGAACAGAGGCCTCAGAGGAAACACAATATATCTACAACCATCTGATCTTCGACAAATCTGACAAAAACAGACAATGGGAAAAAGATTCCCTGTTTAATAAATGGTGTTGGGAAAACTGGCTGGCCATTTGCAGAAAGCACAAACAGGACCCCTTCCTGACACCTTACACCAAAATTAACTCCACATGGATTAAAGACTTAAACCTCAGACCTAACACCATAAAAACCCTAGAAGAAAATCTAGGCAAAACCATTCAGGACATAGGCGTACACAAGGACTTCATGACCAAAACGCCAAAAGTAGTGGCAACAAAAGCCAACGTAGACAAATGGGACCTAATCAAACTCCACAGCTTCTGCACGGCAAAAGAAACAGTCAGTAGAGTGAATCGGCAATCAACAGAATGGGAAAAAAATTTTGCAGTCTACCCATCTGACAAGGGGCGGATATCCAGAATTTACAAAGAACTAAAACAGATCTACAAGAAAATACCAAACAAGCGCATTAAAAAATGGGCGAAGGATATGAACAGATGCTTACAAAAGAAGACATACAGGAGGCCAACAAACATATGAAAAAAATGCTCACATTTTTACATTGTTGGTGGGAGTGTAAATTAGTGCAACCATTGTGGAAGACAGTGTGGCGATTCCTCAATGATCTAAAAATAGAAATCTCATTTGATCCAGCAATCCCATTACCGGGTATATATCCAAAGGATTATAAATCATTCTACTATAAGGACACATGCACACGAATGTTCACTGCAGCACTGTTTACAATAGCAAAGACCTGGAACCAACCCAAATGCCCATCGATGATAGACTGGATAGGGAAAATGTGGTACATATACACCATGGAATATTATGCAGCCATCAAAAACGATGAGTTTGTGTCCTTTGTAGGGACATGAATGAATCTGGAAACCATCATTCTCAGCAAACTGACACAAGAGCAGAAAACCAAAACCACATGTTTGATTTTGTTCTCACTCATAGGCGGGTGTTGAACAATGAGAACACATGGATACAGGGAGGGGAGCAATACACACTGGGGTGTAGTTGGGGGAAATGGGGGAAGGATGAGGGGGTGGGGAGGTGGGAAGAGATAGCATGGGGAGAAATGACAGATACAGGTGAGGGGAAGGAAGGCAGTAAACCACACTGCCATGTGTGAACCTATGCAACAATCTTGCATGTCCTTCACATTTACCCCCAAACCTAAAATGCAATAAAAATAAATTAATTATTTAATTAATTAAATAAAAAACAAAACAAACAAAACTTCTGAATTCTAAAATTCAACCCCATAATTGAGGGATTTATATAAACTATAAATTATATATTATAAACCAATATATGCTGTCTTGAAAACCTTGAAATCTTTATGAAAATATACTATAAAATAGGAGTTGTAAACTCAAATACTTGTAAGGACAAAGGAGGTTACCTAAGTAACTGAAGTACTTAGGTGGGCACAGTAGCAAACTAGAGAATGTGCCCCTCCTATACAGGGGCAGTCTCCGCACAGCAGGCCAAACAGTGGTGAGTCTCAAGGGACACCAGATTTGATTCTTAAGACAAGCCTGAAGTCCAGATTTCTGCATGAGTCTCCTAAATTTTAACTGTTGACACAACTTAAGGCGTCCAAAAAACAAATCTATGTGCCACATTTAGACTATAGCCCTTGTGTTTTTATATTTGGTACAAATGTGTTACTAAATAGTTGTGTATAAACCAAGTATTTGGTTGTGTAACTTTTTCTTTCTCTAGTGTCTTATGTTTTACAAAAAACTCAGGCCCTGCTATGTATATATGTATCTGTATCTATCTATATAATAAAAATTGCTGTTAAGACTCCTAATACCCATCTCTAGAATTTTCCCAACATGTATTCATTTACAATCTCTTTGTATATTATTTTCCCAGATTGTTAACCAAATAGATAAGTAGTTCATAGGACTGCTGAAACTAAATCATTTAAAAGAATTCTTACTGTATTCTCACTGACTTCATGGATTTCAGTGTTTAAAACGGACATACTGATTATGCCAAAGCTCTATAAACTTAACAGACATGCTGAGATAGCCCAAAATATAACTTCAACTGAAAAAAAAAAAAAAAAAGGTTCAGTATTTGCTACTAATCTAATTGAAAAAACCTCACTTGCAATGAACATTTGTTGACACATAATCACCTGAATGTTGACAAAGGAACATGAAATCCTGAAAGTGTCAGCCACTACTTATTTAAAGGTTACTTACAAGCAAATTTCTAAAGACTCTCTGAATAGTAGTGAATGATTCATGCTGAGAAGGAAAAGGTGTTATTCTGTAAGTTGAGAGATATTACCAATAATATTTCCTTTTACTTCCCAGTCACAGACATAGAGAAAGAAAGACAAGTCAGGCTAATATTATTGGAAAGGAGAATTTGGAGGAAGTAGTGCCTATCAAATGCCAACTATTTTAGAGATTTCTTATGTTTTTGAGATGTGGGAACTTACATACTGCACTCATCTATTCTGTGCTTCTTAATCAGAAGTGTATTCAAACCTAGAGGGGTTTTTTTTGTTTTGTCTTGTTTTGTTTTTTGCTGTTGTTGTTAAAGAGAAGAATCTCACTATGTTGCTCATGTTGGACTCAAAATCTTAGCATCAAGCAATCCTCTCACCTCAGCCTCCGAAATAACTCGGACGGGGAACATACCATTGTGCATGGCTTCAAAAAATATTTTTAAGCATACATGTTCAGGCCTTATTAGATCTATTACCTCAAAATATTCATGGGAAAGCCTACACTTGCAGATTCTTTAAAAAATTTCCCCAGGTCCCTATAATGCACAATTCTAGCTGAGAATTAGTGCAGCAATCACTTCAGTTGCATCACTCACCCACATAGCTAATACCCTTTATCAGTTTGGGATGTGAACAAAAAGAAAAAAGAGTAAGAGTAATTTATTAAAACTCCAGTTAATTTTCCTGGATATGGGTAGAACAGGGACAAGTAAACTCAAAATTCCACTTGATTTTGCTATTTATAAGCTCCTTATCTCCCACCTTACCACCAAGACAGTCTAGATTTGAGAGGAGATTTTAGATTCTTATCTAGGCGGCTGTTTCTGTCAGGATGGGTAGTAAGTCCGTTACCAGCATGTTTTACCCTTTGCTGAAGTGTTACTCACTTTCTCACCACCTATTCACTACCAATCTGGTTTCCTCGGTCTTCTAAAAATTTATCTTTAGGCAAGTTTCAATCACTTTCTTTACCAAACCAAAAATGATTACCCCAAAGCTGAAGAGCACTTTGTCTCAATACATAAGCTGGAAAAACAACCAACTAAAAAACAAAACCTCTTCTTTGCATTTTTCTCTCATTACCTAATTTCCACATGGCCTGCATATTATCTGATTGCTCTCCTTTTCCCTTCCCATTTTTCCCTCTTAAGCCTTGCCACTGAAAGATACACCAGTGTTTTAAAGAAAATTGTCTTCAGCAGCAAGATTTCCATTTATTGTAAGTTGCTTTAGTTTTGTTTGAGTGTTAAGCTAAAACATATTTCCAGGGTAGATTTTTTTTTTTCCTTTTCTTTTTTCTTTTCTTTTTTTTCTTTTTTTAACACTAATTAGAAAAAACAACCCTGGGGTAGGAAACAAATTTTGGAAAAGAAAAAGTTTTACCTTGAACAAATTCACAAAGATAAGTGCACTAAAAAAGCTGTACCCTCTAATGCTTCTTTAAAAGTATCAATATTTAAAGTAAAATTTTAGACAATTATTTCAAAATATTTTCATTCAAGGAGTGCTTGAGCTTCCAAACATGAATAATTGACCCTTACCTATGTCAATATTAAAACAATTATTTTGAAAAGAAAGTTGGTTGACCTTGTTTATTGCTTCAATATTTGCATTGTGGGAGAGCAGTTTTTCTGCCAGTGATGTCACGCTATTATATACAGCATAATGAAGAGCAGGGTTGCCGTAGACATCTTGAATGTTTGGATTGGTGCCATGTTCCAGCAGAATAATGGAACAAGCCTCCTCCTGACCATGCACAGCCTATCAGTGTTAGAAAAAAAATTATACTGTAAATTCTAAGAATTCAAAATACATATTCCACAGGTTTCACCCACTAGTTATATGTAAATGAGATAAATTGATTTTATTTATCAAATCCATTCCATGCTGAAGGAGTTGACTACTATATAACTTCATTAAAGGGGTCCTGTTTAGTCTGTCATTGATATCAATCTGGCACTTTCTGCTCACCAACAGAGTAACCACTTTCACATGGCCAAGTGCACAGGCCAAATGCAGAGGAGTCCTGTGAGAATGAGAGGAATTTTCAGGAAATTGTAGTGCAATATCTCAAAACCTCCAATGATTCATGTCATTGTAAACATTGAATAGCATGTTATTCCTCAGCCTTCAAAACAAATAATTTTCTTTTGAAGAAAGTACGGTATTTGTTAGCCCTTATTGCTCACTACCTAGATGAAACAGCAGCCTATTTGGATAGAATGAGCTTGGACTTTGGATTCAGTTCAACTAGGGCTTGAGTTCTACTTTGAATTCTGTCACTTACCAGCTATTGCTTAGCCTCTCTGTACCTCAATTTCCTCATTAAAATAGGTCAAGCGCGGTGGCTCACGCTTGTAATCCCAGCATTTTGGGAGGCCGAGGTGGGCAGATCACAAGGTCAAGAGATTGAGACCATCCTGGCCAAAATGGTGAAGCCCGGCTCTAAAAAAATACAAAAATTAGCTGGGCATGGTGGCACATGCCTGTAGTCCCAGCTACTTGGGAGGCTGAGGCAGAAGAATTGCTTGAACCTGGGAGGCAGAGGTTGCAGTGAGCCGAGATTGCACCATTGCACTCCAGCCTGGCAACAGAGCAAGACTCTGCCTCAAAATAAATAAATAAATATAAATATAAATAAAATGAAGATGACAATAGCAGCTAGCTCACAGGACACCACTGTGATGCTTAAATAAGAATCTATTTAAAGTATTTAGAACCATTTCTAGAACAAGCAACAACTCAGTAATTGTTAGATTTTTGTTTTTTGAGTCAGGGTCTCACTCTGTTGCCCAGGCTGGAGTGTAATGGTGTATTTATACCTCACTGCAGCCTGGAACTCCTAGGCTCAAGCGATCCTCCTGTCCAAGGCTCCTGAGTAGCTGGGACCACAGAAGTGCTCCAGCATACTCAGCTAATTTTAAAAAAATCTTTTGGAGAGTAGGAATTCCACTTTGTTGTCAAGGCTGGTCTCAAACTCCTGGCATCAAAGGAACCTCCCACCTTAGCCTTCCAATGCTCTGGAATGACAGTTGTGAGCCACTGCATCCAGCTGGATGTTATAATTATTACTATTACTACTACTTATCAAAAACATTTTAATTAAGTAAAACAATACAATTAATCCTATTTTCCAGGATGATTTAAAGATTAGGTCACAATCCAAGATGGCCGAATAGGAACAGCTCCAGAGTGCAGTTCCCAGCAAAAGCAGTGCAGAGGGTCAGTGCTCACTACATTTCCAAACAAATTTTCACTACCCACAGACCAGGAGATTCCCAGGCAGAAAAGCACCACAAGTTTTCAGCACGGCGGTTTCAGCTGGTGCCATGTTGGCACACAGAAATTTACACAAGTCTGGGCTGCCATTTTGGCCCCAAACACCTGGGAGACAGAGCTGTCCATTCAACTGAAAGGGAGGGGGGGCTCAGACAGGGAGCCAGGGAATATGGCTTGGTGGGTACCACCCCCACAAAACAAGCAGTCTGAAATGCTCTGGAATGAGCGTTTCACAGCAAGCACAGCTGGACCCAGGACCATCCAACTCAGTGGGGGAAAGGGCATCCCCCACTACCAAGGCAGTCCACCACTACCGAGGCAGTTCACAACGCAGCAGGGCAGAGCCTGCAGCAGCTCAGCAACTCCTCTGCTGGCAAACTATGACTAGACTACTCCTTGTGGGACAGGGCATCTATTAAAAAAAAGCAGCAGCACAACAGGGACTTATAAATAAAGCCAACCTTCCTAGGACAGAGCACCTAGGAAAGAAGTGGTTATGAGTTCAGCTGCAGCAGACTTAAAGGCCCAGTAGTTCTGCACGGAACAGCGGAGCCCCCAGCACAGCACTTGAGCTCCTATAAGGGACAGAATGTCTCCTAAAGCAGTTCCCGACCCTGTATACCCAAAGAGACACCTCATAAAGAGGAGATCAGGCCAACATCTGATGGGTACCATTCTGGGATGAGGATAGCAGAGGAAGAAGCCTGCGACAACCCTTGCTGTTCTGCAACCCCCGCAGGCAATCCCCAGGCGAGCAGGGTCTGGAGTGGACCTCCAGTGGTCCTGCAGCAGAGGAGTCTGACTGTTAGAGGAAAACTAAGAAACAAAAAGAAATAGCTTCAACATCAACAAAATAGACATCCACTCAGAGACCCCATCTGAAAGTCACTAACTACAAAGACCACAGGTAGATAAAACCACAAAGATGGGAAGAAACCAGCACAAAAAGGATGAAAACACCAAAAACCAAATCATCTCTCCTCCTCCAAAAGAACACAACTCCTCACCAGCTAGGGATCAAAGATGGATGGAGAATGAACCAGATGAACTGACAGAAACAGGCTTGAGAAGGTGGGTAATAACAAACTTCTCAGAGCTAAAAGCACATGTTAGAACCCAATGCAAAGAAACTAAGAACCTAGAAAAAAGGTTAGATAAGATGCTAACTAGGATAAACAGCTTAGAGAGGAATATAAATGACTTGATGGAGCTGAAAACCATGGCATGAGAACTTTGTGAAACATACACAAGTTTCAATAGCTGAATTGGACATACAGAAGAAAGGATATAGGAGATTCAAGATCAACTCAATGAAATAAAATGAGAAGGCATTAACAGAGAAAAAAGAGTGAAAAGAAATAAACAAAGCCTCCAAGAAATATGGGATTATGTGAAAAGACCTAATTTACGTTTGATAGGTGTAACTGAATGTGACAGAGAGAATGAATCCAAGCTGGAAAACGCTCTTCAGGATATTATCCAGGAGAACTTCCCCAACATAGCAAGGCAGGCCAACATTCAAGTCCAGGAAATACAGAGAACACCACAAAGATATTCCTCAAGAAGAACAACCCCAAGAGGCATAATTGTCAGATTCACCAGGGTTGAAATGAAGGAAAAAACGCTAAGGGCAGCAAGAGAGAAAGGTAGGGTTATCCACAAATGGAAGCCCATGAGACTCACAGTAGATCCCTTGGCACAAATCCTACAAGCCAGAAGAGAGTGGGGACCAATATTCAACATCCTTAAAGAGCTTTCAACCTAGAATTTCATATCCAGCCAAACTAAGCTTCCTAAGTGAAGGAGAAAGAAAATCCTTTATGGACAAGCAATTGTTGAGAGATTTCATCACCACGAGGCCTGCCTTACAAAAGCTCCTAAAAGAAGCACTAAACAAGGAAAGGAACAACCAGTATGAGCCACTCCAAAAATGTACCAAATGGTAAAGACCATAAACACAATAAAGAAAATGTGTCAACTAATGGGCAAAACAACCAGCTAGCATCTAAATGGCAGGATCAAATTCACACATAACAATATTAACCTTAAATGTAAATGGACTTAATACCCCAATCAAAAGACACAGACTGGCAAATTGGATAAAAAGCCAAAACCCATCGGTGTGCTGTATTCAGGAAACCCATCTCACATGCAAGAATACACATAGGCTAAAAATAAAGAATGGAGGAAGATTCATCAAGCAAATAAAGAGCAAAAAAAAAAAAGCAGGAGTTGCAAACCTAGTCTCTGATAAAGTGGACTTTAAACCAACAAAGATCAAAAGAGACAAAGAAGGGCATTACATAATGGTAAAAGGATCAATGCATCAAGAAGAACTAACCATCCTAAACATAAACACACCCAATACAGGAGCACCCAGGTTCATAAAGCAAGTTCTTAACAACCTACAAAGAGACAGACTCCCACACAATAATAGTGGGAGACTTTAACACTCCACTGTCAATACTAGATCAATGAGACAGAAAATTAATAAGGATATCCAGGACCTGAACTCAGACCTGGAACAAGTGGACCTAACAGACATCTACAGAAATCTCCACCCCAAATCCAGAGAACATACATTCTTCTCAGCACTGCATGGGACCTACTCTAAAACTGACCACATGATTAGTAGTAAATCACTCCTCAGTAAATGCAAAAGAACAGAAATCATAAAAAAGTCTCTCAGACCACAGTACAACCAAATTAGAACTCAGAATTAAGAAACTAACTCACAACCACACAACCTCATGGAAACTGAACAACTGGCTCCTGAATGTCAACTGGATAAACAATGAAATGAAGGCAGAAATAAAGATGCCTTGAAACCAACAAGAACAAAGACAAAACATACCAGAATCTCTGGGACACATTTAAAGCAGTCTCTAGAGGGAAATTTATAGCAATAAATGCCCACCAGAAAAGCGAGGAAAGATCTAAAATCGACACCATATCATCAAAATTGAAAGAGCTAGAGGAGCAAGATCAAAAAAACTGAAAAGCTAGCGAAGACAAGAAATAACTAAGATCAGAGCAGAACTGAAGGAGACAGAGACACAAAAAATCCTTCAAAAAATCAATCAATCCAGGAGCTGGTTTTTTTAAAAGATCAATAAAATAGAGCACTAGCCAGATTAATAAAAAAAGAATAGGGAGAAGAATCAAATAGATGCAATAAAAAATGATAAAGGAGATATCACCATTGACTCCACAGAAATACAAATTACAATCAGAGACTACTACAAACAACTCTATGCACATAAACCAGTAAACCTGGAAGAAATGGATAAATTCCTAGACACTTCCACTCAAGCCTAATCCAGGAAGAAGTTGAAACCTTGAACAGACCAATAAGGGCTGAAGTTGAGGCAGCAATTAATAGCCTACTGACCAAAAAATGTCCAGGTCCAGACGGGTTCATGGCTGTATTCTATCAGATGTACAAAGAGGAGCTGGTATCATTTCTTCTGAAACTATTCCAAACAATACAAAAGGAGGGAATCCTTCCTTCCCAAATCATTTTATGAGACAAACATCATCCTGATACCAAAATCCAGCAGAGACTCCATAAAAAAAGAAAACTTCAGGCCAATATCCATGATGAACATAGATGCAAAAGTCTTCAATAAAATACTGGCAAACCGATTGCAACAGCACATCAAAAAGTGTATCCAACATGATCAAATAGGCTTCACTCTGGGGATGCAAGCCTGGTTCAACATACACACATCCATAAACGTAATCCAC